GGGAAAACAGAGGCAGATTCCTCCAACTCCCTGCTCGCATAATACTAATTGACCAGAATAGGAAAGGTAAGACGCAGGAAGTTTTAATGACATTATTAAAAAGTATAGAATTTCCTTACCTGCCTTTGACAAATATCATCAGTGAGTAGGGTTGACACTGTCGTAAATGATCTTTGTATACTGGCTGATCATAGATAAGCTACACTATATAGCCAAAAGTATGTGGACATGCCTACCCATGTACTTTTCTGTACCTTTCGTCTGGGGCTGATTTGCATGGTTTGAGTTAGGGCAGTCACAATATCAGATTTTCACTACACGATTGTGGCCAAAAGAATTTATTATCACGATATGGAAAATTTGGGGAAAAGTGTTTTTTGTCTCTTTTTTGGCAAATGACACTCAAAGTACGAGTGTAAGAAGGTAGCATGAACGAAAAAGTGAGAACGGAAAGAAATGGAAATTATTTAAGAGGCAATGCATTTTTATTATTACATGATATTATGTATATTATTACACAATAATAATAATTTGCGGTTCGACCCCCAGCTCCTTCTGCTGCATGTTGAAGTGTCCTTGAGCAAGATACTAAACTCCTCCCAGTGATTTGCCATTGATGTGTGAATTTGTGTGAATGAGTTTGTTTCTGTTTGTGATGAGCCTCTGCCACCATTGTATGATTGTGTGTTTAATAATCCCAGGGGGAAATTACTTTGGTAAAGGTGCCATATAAGTGCAGTACACTTACCATTAACATGATAAATATCACCGTTATCGTCACTGCTGATATATTGCGACACACGTAATTTGAGCTGGACCCCACATTCGCAATTAAGATAAATATTACAGCATAGAATGACGTTTTAGATCATATGTGCGAGTCTGTGCCTACAGTTTGGGAAAGGCCTCCATGCATAAAGATACACATCTAGTTTGGTGTGGTAGAACTTGACTGGCAGACAGAGCCCTGATATCAAACCCATCCAACAACTTTGGGACAAATTAAAACCTTATGGCCCAACACCACTTAGGCTCTTTTGGCTGAAGTGCAGCAAGTCCCTGCAGCCAGGTTCTAGGAAAGCCTTACCAGAAGAGTCAAGGCTGCAGCAAGAGTTAATGTTTTTGAAAGGACATGCTCAATCATGTACTGGTGTAATGTCCATGCACCCACATACTTTATTGTGGTGTCCACTTACCATATTTTAGTTTCCAGCACCAACGTCTTTTCACCACGTTTAGTAATTTTAATGTTCCATAATTCATATTTTAAACATTGTTTGAGACAGTCGCCTCTCTAGCTGCTCTGTTACATAATTTGCACAATAAATGTGACTTCCAGAGTGAAAAATGTGGAGGTAGTGCTACAGTCAGGTTGTATATTGTCTGCAAGTGTGTGTGTGTATGTTGTGCACAAGCCTGGAGACAATCCAGCGCTCATAACTGTGTGGAGGCCTTTTGCAAATTGCATTGATCCCTAGACCTGCCTTCCACCTGCCGCCCATCCTAATGCCTGTGTTACAGAAGGGTGTAGGAGGGAGGGTGTGTGCGGTTGGAAACACCTACTTCTTTTTCCTTCTCCTGTAATCTTCTTACTCTTTCCTCTATCGCCCTCTTTGCATCTACCTTTGGTCTCTTTTTCCTACTCTTGCTTTCCTTTTCTTAATTTATCTGTTTTCCCGATGCACTCACTCTCACACACAGACATCCACCTGTAGCAACATATTTCCACACTTTCCTTCGCTAATCATTGATATGACTGACATGCTTTCCTCCGTCCTGTCCCTCTAATTACAACATTATTGGTTATCACGGTAATGAGCCGCAGTGCAGACACAGAACATGAATTAATGAGTGAGAAATCACGGTGGAACATGGCACGGGGGTCAAAATTAACCGTGCTTTAATGTTTACCTCTGTTAAATCAGTTGAAAGATGATCAAAAAAATTAAATAAATAGATATACAATATATTATATATGATTATTATACTGGGCCTATATATAATATTAATACATAGACAATTAGAAGGTAAATGCACAAACACACACACACATATATAATTATCAGGTTTTCAGAAAATCCAAAGAAGACAAATAAAAATCCAAAAGGATTTTCTTAGGCAGGTTTCAGCCTTGCAAGCTGCAGTTGTTTAGTGTTGATGGAACCTGTACTAAGGCTGCCTATGAGGACCGGTCTCATCCGGTGATTGGCTCCCTCAAAGCGCTGATATCCTATTACGCAACATATTTTGCTAGAAGTTTACCGAGATCATGTTTAAGCAGTTCAGAAAATGAAAGGCTAATTAAACCTAATGATACTCTCATGACTTGGACAGCAGCCAAGCATAAGCACACAGTCATGAAATTTACATGAAAGGGCTTTGTGCGAGCTCATGGGATTTCTTTCTTTACAAATTAAGCTCTAGACATGAGTAGGGCTGCATATCAAAGGCCTACCTTTTGAGTACATTGATTGCTTGATGAGATTCTTAGTCTTGAGACATTTTCCAATTTAAATAATAGATATACTCATTTTAAATTTCGTACAAGCAAAACTCGTACCTACAGCATATGTTGTTGATGTGAGACGTTTGGCTTATAGTGCTAGTGTACTTTGCTATGGGGAAAAGAGTAATTAATAAAAACAAAACAAAACCAACTAAAATAAAATCCAAATGCACCAAATGTTAGCACTGTATCAGGCATTTAAAGATCTAATCCAAAAACTGCTTCATGAGGAAATCGGAATCAAATCCTCAGACCAAATCTCAATTCTTTCTAATACTTTAATGAATCTATGTAATTTTAGCTTTCAAAATCTTTGAACAACAAAAGTCAAAAGCAACATATGCCATATTTAATAAATAAAATTCATGTAAATACACGTTAGAAATGTTCTTCTAGGTATATTGCATTGCTTTAGATAAATGGCAACCTGAATTATTGTAATGTGCCAAATCATAACTGGATCCAAAATGTGACCCCACCCCATCTATTCTATACTTCCATTTTGGCCTAGCATCTCCTGAGAAAGGGATTGTATTTAAGACTTTAGAAAACTGAATACATACAGTGTGTTTTCCCTCTCTTCACCTCACTGGCTCCAGTGTAAACATGGCTGTTAATACACAGCTGTGATGCTCCTCTGGCTTGTAGAAGCTGCCAACACTCCAACGAGTCTCCTCAGACTCCATAAGCCTTACATGGACTGTAGGGCCCTTATATGGAAATATACAGTGAAATATAGTTCATACAGTACATGGCTGAGTGAACACATGAACACTGAAGGTTGTGTGAGTACATGCACACACACACACACGAGAATGTCAGTGGGAACGTAAACAGCTGCACAGCCCTCCACAAATATTCACTCGTATTAACACTAACATGGGGTCATAGAACTATAGAGAAACAAATGTCAACACAAGCTCCCAAGGTGCTTTTCATGTGCTTGGTAAATAAAAATAAATGTAATTTAATGGGGTTTTTTTTGGTTTGTTATTTTTTATTTTATTGTTCAGTTTGATAAAGGAGTTGTTTAACACGGTTCAACTTCCCCTGTCATTTGTTACAATAAAAAAGCAATAAGTCACTCTTGTGAGTGAGTGAGAATTGACTGCGGTTTTTCAATAACGTGCTCACAGAGCTCAGGGTATTAAAGATGCCATTTCTGAATTGGCCAGCCAGTCAAGACAGCTAGTTTTGGCCAAGAGCCAGTGTTTATTGGCAAGACATCTGCATTGATTGTGAGAAGCTACTGAAACCAAGTAACATATCAAGGTTGCACAGTTACAGCAGGATGTTTAAAAGTTTCCAAACTTATACAAAGTTTGATTCATTTCTTATCGGTACATTTTGTCCTGGTACAGAAACATACACTGCTGTACTCTGTTAAAATCCTGGAAGTGTCACTTTAATGCCTTTCTATTGCCTGCACTGCAGAAGTTGTCAATTTGCATCTATTTCAGTGACATTTCAAAGATGCATCACAAATCTGAAACTGCTGATTTGGGGAACTACAGAATGCAAGTTTTGATAATGTACAATATGTACGTAATTTTAATGTAAATAGTATCACAATATTAAATATAATACTTTCTGATATTGATTTCAAAATCACAATTGAATAAAAAGTGAAATTAAATAATGCTACAGTCTTTAAAGGGCACGATTTAGGTCACATAAAACTGTCAAATGTGTAAAACCAAAACCTTAAAAACTCATTGTATTGTGTAGAAAATTAATGAATATGGTACATACTCAATCAGAACTATTAAATAACTGATGAATCAGGGAAAAAATAATATTATAATTTTATATGTATGAAATATATCTATAATATTGACTAATTATTGTCTATTTTGTCTAAACAGAGAATATGCTACCTAGAAAAACCTTTGCAGAATTAATTCCAACTGGGCTATGTTTAATATCCACTTTGAACTTGACTTGTTGACTCCTGTTTTCATTTTCTGAGAATGATAGCACACAACCAACAAATGCTCTAGCTATTAAGCTGAAGTGTTCTAAGAACACTCAAAAGGTCTATGCAGCCTGGAGTTGAATGGAGGCTTTTCTAAAGAGATTATATTTTTTTCTATCTTTATAATTCAGCTGTTAGTGCTGTATGTACACACACAGCCACACACATTGCACCAAAACATCTCTCATTTCCGCCCTCCTTCCTCCCTCCATCTGTAAGATACTGTAGAGCCAACCGGGTGAGGCAACTGGGCGGGGCGACAGGGACCAGGGTAGGCAGCGAGGGAGAGGAGGCACACATGTGGAAAAACAGGCTGAAACTGGTCCAGAATGAATTTTCATCATTTCTGTGTCAGCTGCTGCCTAGTTAGGTGATGTGAAGGAGGAGTGAACCAGAAAGACCACGATGTGAAGGAGTAGAGGATCAGCCACTATCAAAGGATGTGGAGGAAGGTTCGAGTCTGTATTGTGGGTGTTTGTGTTTGCGAGGCCGGAGGGCTGTTCCAGGGCAGGAACTTACCTCTGCAGATGGTGCCGTTGCCCACGTAGCCCGGCTTGCAGGTACACAGGTGTCCTCTGATGGTGTTGGTGCAGATGGCGTTCTCATCACACAAATTTTGGCCGCTGGCGCACTCATCATGCTCTGAGGGAGAGATAGAGAGAGACTCTGCAGTCAGAACGGTTGTGTGTATGCGTGTTTGTTGTGTGAAAGATGAAGAGGTCATTGGAAAAAAAGCTCATTTCTTTTTCGGCTGAGCAGCCATGGAAATTCCACTGATGAGAGGACAGTCAACAAGCTAGTTGGCTGAGAATATGAGGTCACAGTTAAGCTTTTCTTCTGTCAACAGCCAGATTTCTAAACATCCAACACCAGCTCTGCTTCAAAATGGATGAGAGGCGTATTCTGTAACATGAAGGTTACTTCAAACAATGACAAAGGCATAAAGCTAGGCTGCTTTTTCTGGACTTTCTTACTTTCTCTTTATTACAGTGTACTCTCTAAACTATACTGCTGTATATATTTTATCCTGTGCAGTTCTATTTATTTTTACAGAATGCCATTACCTCCTGCTGTGACCTATGCAATATTAAAATACATTATATAAAAGCTGTTTATAATGTACATAAAACTCTTATTGTATACTTCTACTTGTATTTTTCTTTTTATTTATTGTGTATTTTCTATTTCTGTTATGTTGTGTTGTATCTGGAGCTGCTGTAGCGATTGAATTTCTAAGTCTATCTTATCTTATCTTATCTTTAAAATCACCATCAGGCAGTAGAAGTGCAACATCTGATACAGGCCAGGTGTGCTGACTGATTGCTCAGTATCAGCACCAATTAGCCTAATGATGATGGTTTAGATACTGGTGACTAGTGAGACACAGCATCAAGAAATATATCAACACTCAACTTTCACAAAATCATGTAAACACGTTGAGCTTTCTAGAAGATTTCAGACCACTAACTCAAGAGAATTTACCTCTGCTAATGGAAAACGGTTGTTTATATATATATATATACATATATATTTCCCAATGTCACAACATAATATCAGGGACTATGGCAGCTACAGAGATAACACATGAGGATCACAAGAACTGTGATTGGTCAGCATGTGCTGCTTGAAATTTAAATCTCCAATGCCAGAAGAGATTTTGTGAGAATTTCTGCAGTTATCTTCTCCCTTTCAGTAACACATCTAGCAAAGACATCTCTACTATAAACCTGCTCACCATGACCTCTGCTCTCCTCACAGTAAGGAGACAATGTGGATGTTTCTACAATTGCAGCAATTGAGTGAATAAAAGAATATAAACACAGAATGTAATTAAGGGGACAACAGGGGACAGAACATGTTAATACAAATCTGACCTGTGCCATGCAACTTTCAGGTAAAGCTGATTAATGCTTCCTATCCAGTAATTATAATTTGTCAAAACACTGTAACATGACGAATATCAAAGCAGTTAACGACGCATGATTTGCCTGTTTTAAAGGCTTCAGCTACTAATGGCTGCACTGAGCCAATCACACTGCAGAAAGAGAGTAGGACTGTTGTCATGTCAGAAGCTTGCAAGCACAATTTGGCCTTTTTTCTCCTTATCCTTGAATTAAAAATAACATGATCCTTTCTGGGCTTGACAATAAAGCTGAGAGACTATTTTATTATGGTAAACAGTGCAAGGTCAGCGGTATTAAAATACACTATGGCTAGTTTTGCTTCATTCATGAAACGCTGACTCACTACAAACATATGGCCAAACACTACACAGGGCTGTACAGTACTATACATGCTCAGGGTCAGTGTTTTATATTCTGCTGGGTACCATGAACTGCTCTCTTGATTTTTATATGTTAGCTGTTAGCAAAGGGCCAGAGGGAATAAGAGGTGGGTTTAGTACTGCAGGCGGTGCATGATTAACCATCACTCAGAGACCTGCTACTAAACAGTAATTCTACCTCACTGCTCTGAAGTCGGGATTGTTCATGTGTAGCTGCATAGCAAAACTTTAGCTTTGATTTTCAGATGTTTGCTAAATATCCTTGACTTTACTCAGTCTTTTATGGTTGGCTGCCTATGCTGAGGACCTTGGAGAAAGTTTAAGGAATTTTCCACTAAAACCTTTCGCTTTGAGTAGTATAACTCACCACCTGCAGCCTGAAAGGTGTCTAAGAAAAGTTTGGACCTTAGATTTGCAATGATTTACAACAGCGATCCATGCTTCATAGTGACAAAAAGTATTACTTATTTGTTGAAATATGACCTAAGACACTTTATTCGTCACTGTAGGTATATAACAACATTATTAGTGCTAACTCTCAGAGACCAGCAGCAATAGAAAACAAGATAAAAAAAGATGAATAAACAAGATAAATATGACGAGGTAGCATCTTCTTTGCATATATTATAAATACAGACACTTGGACAAGGCTGGCAAACAGTGACAGTGCAAACAGTGCAGTAGGCCTATAAAAAGCTATCACACAACAATTAAAAACTAACTATGCAGAGACATGAGCATAGATTGTATATCACAGATGTATATGTATTGTAATAAAAGTTTAGAGTGCATTAGCAGCAGTTCGGGGGGGGGGATGGATGAGAGAGGCTAACTTGATAATATTTTCAGTCTCCAGCTGAACATATGAGGCTACAGTTCAACAAGCGTTTTCTCAGTCTCTTAGATCAGGCTGGTGTAGACTAGACACATAAAGTGACACATATTGGACCTGCAGGGGGCCCCAGAGGATCTTTTGCAGTTCTAGGACGGTTTCCAACTTTGACTGTTTGGTAATCCAGCCTTGTCCAATAACTTTTAGAAATGAGGCCCCATAGTTCAGCTAAACTGCTCCAGACATGGGGTCAATGGATCCATTGGTGCACATTCAGGATCTAAGCTGCATGCAAATGACTTAATACATGTATTTTTTCAACTGTTTTCTTCCAATTTCAGAATGTAAATTTCTGACTAGTTTATTTTTACCTGCTAAAGGGGCAAATAAAGGGGTAGTTCCCTCTGTTTCCTCTGTTCCCTCCCCAGCTTTGCAGACACACTGACTCCTACTGGTCGGGGAGTCACTTGGGCAACAAGGACATGATCCTTCACTGCTAATACAGCCAACTGTGTTTGTAGGAACCACAATATAAAAAGTCCCTTTATAGGAAGTCATACTGCAATGATGGATGGGAACTTTTACCCCTGCATGAACTGCACTCCCTCAGTATTGCTCAGTATTTAATCAAATTCTTTTGAATTTGCTGAATGTATTCACAAAGAGATGTGCTCAAAATGTTCACAATGGAACACAAAATCCATAGCATGGATGGTAGGCTACCTTTTTCCCAAGAAGCCAACAACAGGTCTTTTTCAGAGCAGACATTTTGATTTGTCATAGTTGGAGAAGCAAATGTGTTACTAATAGCATTACAGATGGCTCTGTTCTATTTGAGTGTCCCAGTAAGTCATGACAGTGTGACTGTGAGCTAGCGTGCACAATATGAGGAGCCTGAAACCGAAGCAGCTAAATGGAATTCTGTCATCCTTTATTTATTTTTGTGCTTTTCCTACTGTGACATGTCAAAATGTATTCCATGAAAAAGGTATATACTTTCTCTCTGCTCCTGATATGACAGACATGTAAAATATATCCCTGCAATACTGATTAACTGTGATTAACTGTGCCCTATTGAGAGTTCAACATGTCAACAATAGTGAACAATAATGACTGATTTCTGTCAGCTATAGTTTCTCCACTGCATCAGCCTGGTACAGCATGTTAATCACACCACAATCAACATGTCACACATGCCATATAACATGTTCCACTAACGAGCCCCACACTGAAAGATCCTAATGAGGCTGCACTGGAGTTGACCTGAGGCCACCACAACCCTGCTTAAGTGCCAATGCTCTATTACAAAAAAAGGGAAATCTGACTCATACATTTTTAAAAAGAACATAATTAAAACAACATGAAAAAATAATTCTGTATCTCTCTGTTTCTTTTTAATATGGGATTAATTGATTTTTGGCAACGTGTTTATTGATTCACGTCTTGTCGCTGAGCTTACCAAACTGATTAAGCTGCAGTTAATGCATCTTCAATTAGAATCTAACATGATTTGAGATGATTATAAACAATACAGTAACCCTCATTGATGCTGTGGTGGGAATTTAAAGCAGAGCTGCAAAGCTGAAGTATCTTTTTATATCAAACCATGAACTGTGTCTTTAAGTGCCAGTCAGGACCTGGCCTGAGGCGGCCTCCACTCACAAGGTACACACTCACTAAAACACACTCCTCATTAATATGCAAACGCTTTGGTGGGAGTCATGACTAATACATTCCCCTTAATTAATGAGTGGTGCTCATGAAGCCCTGAAGCAACTAGCAGAAATTATTTAGCTTTTCTCTTCCCAAGGATTTGCTACCCACGTTGAACTATAAAGCGGAGGTGAATGTCAACAGTACAGGTTGGATGTGTAAGAGTTTATGTGGAGGGATATGAAAAGTAGGCTACATTAATGGTAGAGTAATAGGGGAAGAGTTATGTACATGATTAAATATTCAGTGTGCTAATGGCTGAGCTGATGGAGGGGAGAGCAACACAACCAAAACACTCATAGCCACGGCTGCTTATTTATGCTGTTTAATGTCCGCTGGCCAATTTGAAATTATTTTTCAAATTCGAGCTGGAAGTATAAACAGACAGATGCAGTGGCTGAATTGATGGATAGTAAGTAAGTGAGAAACTGCCAAGCTGAATAAGCAATAAATCCCTCCTAAAGCACAGTTTTGGGTCCTATTTTCATACGCAAGCAGTGCTTCAACAGTTTGGGGTTTCCCTGACCTTGAAATGTGATATGCTTTGTGAGGTGCACATTTTAACTTTATTCATCACTGATTTGATGCACCACTCAGAGAGCACACTATGTGACCCAAATCCAACATGCTCACAAAGTCCAGCAGGATGGTCTAGGTCACTGGTTTTCAACCTTGTTGGTTTCATGGACCCCCAAATTGATACACATTCAGCCCGTACCCAAATTTGATAAGATGTCGTCTCAGGGATCTCCGTCTGATAAGATTTAGTTAATCCAAAACGGTCTATACTTCAGATTAACAGTGAAGAGCGAA